ACATGCCTGAAATCGGGACAAAGTTGGCTTTGGTTCAATTTTTTTGCCCGAAAACTCTTTCATCGTCTCCGGTCAAAGAGGGGCAGTTGTTGAAGGCCAATTTTGACCTTCCGTTTTTAAATTAATTTATTTATACTTAATAATTTACAATAAATATATTTTAAGTGTTTTCTAGTAATAAATACTTACTTTTACAAATTAATTAAGTATTAGTTTTAAAAACAAAATAATCACGTAGTATTAATATTATGTAATTACAAATATTCTAACTATTTTAAGATTATTAAAATAAATTTTATATATACCTTACATAGATCTTATAATTAATTTGATAAATTACTCTTTAATTTCTAATTAATAAGACTAGTATGTTAGTATTTTAAAATTAGTGCTATAATTCGAAAAAATAAAGTATTTATAAGTAATTAATTAAAATAATTAGTAGTATATATAATAATTATAATTTTACCATATTTATTAAAAATTATTAAGTTTATTTAACTTAATTTCAAAAGGGATTAATGACAAAAGAGGTTACTATTACAATTCTCAATCAAATGAAAAGAGGCTATTTCTTAAATTTATCTTAGCCCAATTAGCAGGCCTAGTCCAAAATATACCCAGTCCTAACACTCCTCTCTTTCCACCGTGGCGATCCGTGCCATCTTTGGTGCACCAATCACCGTGCGCCACGTCAAACTCCCTCACCACTCACAGAACAAACACACTCGCATCTGAGCCATTGGCCAATCTAATCAACGGCTCACGTTTATTCTCTGATTCTTCTTTTCATTCTAATACCTGCCGCCAGAGATCTCATCCCATCCGTCCAAATTCTCTTAATCCAACGGCCACCGAAAATTCCCTAAAAATCCTAAATGATCGAATTATCAGGGTCGTTGATCATTAGATCCAACGGCCTAGGCTCTATCTCACGTCTTTAACCTAGAGATAAACCCTATTCCCCCCCAAACCCCTAATCATTTCTCAAAGACTGAGCCACCCTCATTTCCCTAAACTCTGTCTTTTCGCTCATCTCCATCAGCCATCAATCTCAGAACCTTGCACAAATTTGGGCAAGGTCACTCTAAAACACTCAGAATAGGAGGCGATGGAGTTAGCTTACGTTTGATTTTAGAGATGTTGCAAGTTCAACAAGTTTCCATAGCACAGCTGCAAAATCATAATCACGCACACAACGCAGTTGAAGCTGAACTAGTTGGAGAAGGCACTCTGAGGGAAGAATGGATTGTCACAGAACCCGACGGGTCCGGACCCGGAGAAACTTCTAAGGTGATGAAAATACTCGAAGCATTGAAAAAATGGGTAGAATCTGGCTAAACGAAGATAGAGGCAAATGATAAGAAAGTGGAAACTTACAACTCGAGAGTCGATCAGATCCCGGGGGCACCCCCGATAGTGAAGGGATCAGATTCCAAAAAGTTCATTTAGAAGCCTTTCCCTCGAGCGCGGCAACAAAGCCGATTCCGAAAAGGTTCCGAGTGCCCGATATTCCCAAATACAATGGGACAACAGATCCAAACAAATATGTGACTACCTACATATGTGCAGTAAAAGGCAACAACCTCGAGGATGATGAGATCGAGTTAGTATTGCTGAAGAAATTCGTGGAAATCCTGTTCAAGGGAGCGATGATATGGTATCACAATTTAATTACCTCAAAACTCTATTGATTCATTTGTTATGCCTGTAGATGCCTTTGTTAAGGCTCACGTCGGGGCCATTAAAGTTAAGACGAGGAAGTCAGACCCATTCAAAGTTAAGTAGAGGGATAACGAGATGCTTAGGGAATTAGTGTGGAGATTCCAAATGGAACAAATGAAACTGCCACTAGTTCCAAATGATTGGGCCGTTCAAGCATTTATTCATGGGCTCAACCCCCGAAGTTCGGTTGCGTCTCAACAACTAAAGCAAAATTTGGTATAGTATCCAGTGGTTACCTTGGCCGATGTTAACAACAGGTATCAGTCAAAGATCAGAGTAAAGGACGACCAATTAGGGACCCCCTCGTGGTCAGTTTATCCCAGTAGAGTGAACGACAAGTCTAAATGAGTGATGGATCAGGAGTCGAGGCCACCCCGAGACCGATACCAGCCTTACAACTCAAATAGAAGGGGAAACAGACCCAGTCGCTATCCGACCAGGAACTACAGTAGAAATGACCAAGGTCCAAGCAATCGAGGGTTGGTGAATAGAAGCAGGTTCGACAGATAAACTAGAGGTAGAGATGCCTTGAGGCGATCAGAATATAACTTCAACGTAGATGCGGCGAGTATAGTATCAGCCATCGGTCACATCAAGGAGACCAATTGGCCGAGATCACTCTAGTCTGATCCGAGACAGAGGTATTACAATTTGATATGCTAATATTGTGGTACTCACGGCATAGAACTGAAGATTTTCGGCAGTTAAAGGAAGAAGTGGCTCGTTTGTTCAATAATGGGTATCTTCAAGAATTCCTAAGTGAGTGGGCCAAAAACTATTTCAAGAATAGGGACACTAACAAGCAGGTCGAGTAGGAGAAACCCTAACATGTGATTAAAATGAGTAGTGGATCAGGAGTCGAGGTCACCCTGAGAATGATACTTGTCTTACAACTCAAATAGAAGGGGAAACAGACCCAGTCGCTATCTGACCAGGAACAATAGTAGAAATGATCAAGGTCCAAGCAATCGAGGGTTGGTGAGTAGAAACGGGTTCGACAGATCAACTAGAGGTAAAGATGCCCCGAGGCGATCAGAATATAACTTCAATGTAGATGCGGCGAGTATAGTATCGGTAATCGGTCTCATCAAGGAGACCAATTGGCCGAGATCACTCTAATCTGATCCGAGACTGAGGTATCACAATTTGATATGCAAATATCATGGTACTCACGGGCATAGAATCGAGGATTTTCGGCAGTTAAAGGAAGAAATGGCTCGTTTGTTCAATAATAGGTATCTTCAAGAATTCCTAAGGGAGCGGGCCAAAAACTATTTCAAGAACAGGGACACCAACAAGCAGGTCGAGTAGGAGGAACCCTAACATGTGTTACTTATAATAGTCCTGAGTGAGACCGAAGATACTCACATATTGGAACCAAGAGCGGACGAATGATACATCGGGTCTCGAACGCGGCCAAACCCGGAGAGAATCAAGCTCGAGTGAGATGAAGACCCAAGGATGAAGGAAAGGAGGTTAAAAAAGATAAACGCGGAGCCGAAATATCTGCCATCAGCTGGATGATATGGCGAGGATCATGCTCGGTACTGACTGCGGATCATAATTTCGTGGGAGAAAAGGAAGTGAAAGATTTTTACCTTATTTAGACTTCTATTAGGGTTAAAACTCCTCTATTATATAAAGAGGAGGACCCCTTTATTTTTTGACACTATAATTTTGCTTGCATATCGAGGCAATAGAATTCATTTTGGTTCTCAGTAATTGTTCTAAGTGTTTTTCAATTGTTCACTCATTTAGCTGTATCCGAGCTCCATCTCGAGGAATCGATTAAAACCGATCGTTTACGTTTAAACATAACGCAAGGTTTATTGATTTCGCCACATTGGTTTGATCGCTTTATATCATTTCAGTTCAATTATTTACTGCTCTTTAATTATTTGTGTTAAATTAAATTGCGTATCCTTTAAAACGCGTATAAATCTAACTATTAACCATTTTGAGGGTAATCAATGTTCAAGCTATGATAAGCACGTATTGATCTTGACTGAGATTTAACTTCGAAGGCATAAACTTCATTTTCTGAAAATTGATGAATCCTCTGTCTCTGTGTATTTACTGAAAGATTTGGCTCTTGAACGTATAGCGCGCAATTCCGATGACCGAATAATAGGAGGTGAAAGAAGAAGGAAACACGAGAAAGGAATTCGTAGAACTCGTTTGTTCAAATGAACTTTTTATTACCCAAGAAATAACGACAAAATTAGCTTTTATTAACTGAATCACATTGAATATTATAGCATTGACAATATATTTATTTTTTGATTAAAAATCCCTTTATGCAGTCTTCTTTTGGACTCGACGCATACGTTTAGATATGTCAGCATACTTTTGGTTTAGTTTAATAATTCAAGATAATAAAAAACCGACTAGTAGACCTATGGTTACGATTTAGAGCCGTCAATATGGGCTGGCCCAACTCTAGAACTTTTGGAACTTATTTAAGAACGGGCTTTTAAGCCTGGCCCGAGTAAGCCCGTGGCCCATAAGGCTTGACTGGGCTGGGTTGGACCGGCCCGTGAGCCTAATAAAAATATGTGTTTAAAATATATAAAATATAAAATTAAAATTATATGAACCAAAAAATATCAACAAGAGTATTCCAAGCTTAAAGTTTATTAAGTTCATCATATTAAAAGATCAAAGTCTTAAACGTTAATTAGTTTTAAAAATTTAATTATTTTTAATATTTAACTAATATATTGCACACAAATTGTAGATGTAAATGAAAGTGAAGATGTCAAGACAACCTTCTCACAAGTGGATTCAAATGTGATTGATGAAAATAATGTGTTGGATATCTCATAAGCGTCATGGACGTTCTCTTGAATTGTTTGTTTTGAGTTTTGACTTTTAGTGAATGAAATAGTCTTGTCTTTTACTTTTTTGTGTTTATTGTGCTATATTGGAACAGTATAAGTATTAAGTATTCTGAAATTTTTCCAACAAGATTATTTTTTAGCTTTTAAATATTTATCTTTTTTTAAGTTAGAATTTTAAGAAAAAATATAGAATTATATTTTAAAAATGATGGGCCGGCCCGTGGAGCCCGCAATCCACATAGGGCTGGGGTGGACGGGCCATTATAAGGTCCATCAAAATGGTGGGCTAGCTCAGCCCAGCCCGTCAATTGCTAAAGCCCATGTGAGCTGGGATAGGCCGGGCTAGCCTAACCCCGCCCATCCATATTGACAACTCTAGTTAAGACCTTGATACATTACATAAAGAGATAAAAATACACAAACATTTACCAAAAATAACAAACAGACTGCATACTATATATTACACAATAAAAGAATTTCAGGGTCGAATAATTGAACCCAGTCTCACATTAACTTCCAATGGTCCCATTACTCATGAAAAAACGAATATGTCTACGTGTATATTTACATTTTCCACCTGTTCTAAAAGGATAAGACTATAAGAGTACTCCACTTGGAACTATTACCTGTGTTTCTGTATAGATATTTTTTGGATATATTAGCTAGCGAGGCTGAATTTTTTTTTATTTTTTTTGCTGAAAAAGATTGCTATTATAATTTCATCCACTAATTAATTTAATCTTCTGGCTATGCATGTACAAGCTACGTAGCACCACTCATCTTGGCTAGCATTTCCCAAAACCGTTGAATTTCAGCCAAAACATCATCGGACGGCAGCTGAAACCGGCAACATGGACAAGTATTCATCTTCTTCAACCAAGGTAGTATACATTTCCAATGAAAAATATGATCACATGGTAATTTGCAAACATCTCTGCCTTCTCTCATCTCTTCTTTGCATATCACACATTCCCTTTCACTGCCACCCATCACTTCCACTGATGGCAGCGCCACCACCACCGCCACAGATGCCGCTAAGTTCTTGCTATCTTTTCCTTCACCACCAGTGGCAGAGTCAAGAATTCTGGAAAAAAACAAGGATCACACTTGGATTAAACCTATGACCTAAAATAATTTTTAAACCTAGCAAAAGTGAATCTTTTAGGTCTTACCAGCTGAATTCATTGCAATTATAATTTATGAGTTTAAAAGTTAATACTTTGTTGACATTAATTGTGATACTAATATTTCACATGTGTGTCTATACTCCGTGTAAAAAATAAGGCTTCAGTTGGATTCATTAACTATCTGGTCCATTATATTCATCTTTGACTAAAAGATACAACAGTTTATATATATACAAAAAAATTATTTTTACCTGGAGCTCCGCTCGAATTCACCAACATCATAGGCCATAACATTGACAAAATTTTTGCACTTCGCGACTAGCTCAACGAACTTGATTATGACTTCACTTTTAGAACTTTCAATGCTAGATAGTTTCAACATGTCCTTGGCTACATAGTCACATAGGATATCGCGCCAACGCGATGGTGGGGCATCAAGTGCCCCAGGTTCGTGTTGGCGCAATTCACAGAGGAGTAGGAGGAGGAGAACTGCGCCTAAGTCACGGAGATTCATGGTGGTGATCGAGGGTGGGGGCAAAATTGTCTTTTGCTGCATGAAGTATACCAAAATTGCGAGTCTTGACAAGAGGTGACGGGCGATGAGGACGAATTTATGGTGGAGAGAGAGGGAGTTGAGGTGGTGGAGAGTGAGAGAGAAAAGGGTGGGAGAAGAGAGGAGAGAGAAAATATGGCGGTGGTAGCGGTGGTAGATGGAGGAGGAATAGTGAGTTAGATTTGTGAGTTGCAAAGGGGTTAACGTAGAAAGAGCTGACATGATTATGGCTTCTAAGTGTTCTTGATCTTCCATTATTATGGATTGAGTTTTTGGAACGTGTGGGCTTTATAGAGGTGTGTATTTTACTTGATGACTATATTATTACAAAGTGATTGCTATCAGTATATATTTCTCAGTCGCTTAATAATTAAATCTTTAATTTGCAAGGTGAATTAATTCTATCCACGTGAGAAAAAAAAACGGGGGGGGGGGGGTGGGGGGGGACAAAGTAA